CATTTGCATACTGTTCAAGTGCCAAAGGAGATAAAAAGCTTTGGTTCCATGATGTTAGGTGGAAGCCACGAACATCATAAATCCAGTCAAGTACTGTATTGTAGATCATGCATAGCTCAGGCACAGGTCTTGCAAATGTGCTCATCATGTCAACATATCGACAAGGATATGCTAACCTGAAGGAAAGTTCAAATAAAATACATAAATATAAAAATGCAGGTATACGACAATAAAACATGCACACTATTAAATATAAATTACCATTTATACTGTATTATGTATACTGTACCTTTTTAACAGTATGCACAACCCTTCAATGCCATCACAAATTGTTCCTTGACCACACTTAAACGTTTCTGGAACTCTCAAAGCATCTACAAGAATAGGTATGTCCTCTTGTTTTACTCTGAACATGGCTTCAAACTCACTGGAATCGTACTCTTCCCAGCAAAAATCACCAAATTCCCAGTAAGGGTAAGCAGGATTTGTTGACTTATATGCATCATAGAGAAGCACAAACTCTTTGTCATCTATCTGCCCATCGCCATAACTTAACACCAGAGCTGTTCTAACATCTTGAAAGGACATCTCAACCGGTTTATAAGTGTCCTTAAGTTTTGAATTAGGACAAATGTATATATATATATATAAATCAAGTAGTGAAGTACTTTGTCGCCTTTGTAGTCGAAATCTTAATCGCTAAACTTCTCCGTACGTCACACGCTTTTTGTCGTAGTCGGCCCAATCTTCCAAATGTTAGACCGCTCATGAAAACGCGTTGTCCGTAGTCTGTTGCCGTGGTATCTTAAAGTCCTTATTATATATAGTGTACGAACTGTTACATGAAGTATACTGCTTGCGGGCGCAGGACAAAAAGTTGACGAAAACATTGTCACAGAGTTTATCTTTATCGAGTTTTAGTATTATCAGTGTGTTTATATTTTGTATTGGTTGATTTATAAAGGAGCAAATAACGTCACAATAACTTGTAAGTAATCCTGTTTCTAGGATCTTTAAGTATCTTAACACACTAATTTTGAGTATGCTAACTAATAATGTAAACATATTTTTAGCGAATCTAGTGCTGACTAGTGCAGTTCGTCAGTGCTGAATAAAAGATATTGTGATAAATCGAATTTACGAGAATTGAAGTTTACATATAGTATAGTTCGAAAATGGCATCAGGGTCTAACGAGGCAGAAGATTAACTGAATTCACGACAAAACGAAACAATTAGCTCAGACGGCGAGAAAAGTCCAGAAGACAGTGGCGTAGCGCCATCAGCTACTACAAGTGTTTACCTTGTAATATACAGCCAGGCGAGTTTAGAAAAGTTCCATCTTCAAAATGATTTCGCAAAGGCGATCATTGACTCATTCACTCAAGGTTCAGCCCGAGTACTTCACTGGTGTTGTAGTCTTGAAAGCCATAATGACGGTGGGAAACATTACCACATGGCGCTGAAGCTCAACAAAATACAGAGATGGCTTCCCTCCAAAAGATACCTTTTAGAACAGTTTGGTGTCAGCGTTCATTATTCCAACATTCACCATGATTATTATAGTGCATAGCGCTATGTTACGAAGAGTGATGAAGCATACGAAAAGAGTAATGGGCACCCAGATCTAGTAAATACTGATGTTCCGAAGACCAGTAAGGCGAGCATAGGAAAGAAAAACCTTAGAGGCAAAGCGTCATCAAAACTCAAACTAAAACGAAGATGAAACCAAAGCGAGTAGGAAAAGCAAGAAAGAAGCATCTAATGCCATTAAATGTGTCAAACGAGTTCGAAACTCAATGAGGACTTCTCATTGTGACTGGAACCCAGTCCTAATGTGAAAAGAGTAAGTCAATGCTCTGCCGAAAGTCGTGGGTTTTCTCCGGGTACTCCGTGTTTCCTCCCACAGGGAAAGTTGACAGGGTGGGTTAGGCACATAACTATGTAACTGCACGACCACAGCTATGCTGCGAATTTAATCGTGTTGAAGTAAATGCTACAAACAAACCTAAACATTAAAAAGCGATAGTTGCTGAATAATTAAGAATCATTGCATAATTATATTTATAATGGGAGTCCTCCAATGTTTACCGTGATATTTTGCTGTTTATTCCAAATATTTACCGTGTATTATCATAAATACAATGTAGATAATTTGGCTATAAGAAAGCATGTGAATTGGAAATTTATTGGGAAGTCTGACAATGATAATGTTTCCCTCCGTCATTATGGCTTTCAAGACTACAACACCAGTGAAGTACTCGGGCTGAACCTCGAGTGAACTAGTCAATGTTCGCCTTTGGAAATCCTTTCAGAGGGAACTTTTCTAAACTCGCCTGGCTGTATGTTACAAGGTTCTAGCAGCTGATGGTGCTATGCCACTGTTTTCCGGACTTTTCTCGCCGTCTGAGCTAATTGTTTCGTTTTGTTGTGAATTCAGTTCATCTTCTGCCTCGTTAGACGCTGATGCCATTTTCGAACTATACTATATATTTTTTTTTTCTGCGTGAGAGTGTATTAGGATGCAACGAGACTGTCGCAAGATTGATTTTGACGTATATTTAGTGAGCATATGACAAACCGGAAGCGAATGCTCCTTTAATTTCTACCTCATTGTCGAATAGTTTTTGCTTTATTACTCTAATACAGTCATAATGTAGCAATTACAGAATTTTTCGATGGTTTTCTAATGCAGGAGAAAAGATAATTAATGAAGATTTGTTGTAATACATTTTCAGACAATCATAGACAAATTTACTCGGACAAACATGGCAAATAAAGTATTTTTTGCAACATTTTCATATAATACTTCGTAAAGTTGGTCCCTCCTCCCCTGAAACAATTTTGATGAACATTTCCGTCATCATGGCAACTATTGCGGTATTTGTACCAACAACATTGTTGCACGATCTAAGAAGAGTCGCATGGATCTCCTTCAAGAAACTTCAAACTCAGATTGTGTTTCTGGATGCAATGATGATTGGCTGCAGTGTCTGAATGACAGGGCTCAAAATAGCGGCCTGCCAATGGCCAAAAGCAGGCCATACTTGAGAAATGGCAGGCAAAAAAAAGTTGAACTGCCAAGTCAAAAATAAAATGGCAGGCGAAATTCTATAGATATGTTTCGTTTTATTTGCTTACCAGTTACCACTAAAAACTACAATTTTATTTATTTGAAAGTGTTAATAATCGCCAGTGCAAATATAAAACACAAAGTCAAGTGCAGCATTCAAAGCCAAAGATATTAAATAAAATTGTGTTATTTGCTGGCGCATACTAATGTCCATAATGTATGCTACATCCCAGGCTACATTCAGGCATTCAGGACCCCCATTATTAAATATACAAAACAAATGATGTCCAAGAATGCATCTAAGTCTTCAGCTACAACAAGAAATATTTAAAAATCTACTGCTTTGAAATGGAAAGTTGGGAATTGGCTGGAAATTGTAGACTCTAATAGGCACAAAGTTGAAGTTTGGGTAACTTCTGTGCGATGCAAACTGTGTGCAAAATATGAAAAGAAGCTAACACACAAAATTTTAAATTTTCATGGTGTCGTGGTACAACAAATGTGAAGCTAGATGCTGTGAAAACCCACATGAATGGGGACAAGCTTGCACTGAAGTTGGAGGATGAAGAGATGTTTAAGGCAAAGCCAGGCCCACTACCGGCATATGCTGCGACACCACTGGGAAAGGCATTTTTTAAGCTAAACGTGAATGAGAAAGTAAGAGTCAAGAAATTGGTTGAAATAGCATATGTTGTTGCCAGAGAAGAGATGCCATTCACCAAATTTGTTGCCATTGCTAAGCTAGAGAAACGGTATGGGGTTGAATTGGGCCAAACATACCTAAACGATCATGCATGTGCAGATTTTGTTGACACTATAGCTGAAATATATGAAGAGGAATTAAACCAGGTTCATGTGCTTTTGATGTTTTGACATTTAGATTTAATGGTTGTAATTAAGTGATATTCCAGTCTCCAGATCGGGTTATTGTATTTGCACCCCGGTCCTTGTGGACTCCAATTGGGATATGGTGATTCTCTACTTTGAAAGTTTAAAATGCCCATGGTAAACATTGAAAAGCAATAGTTGCTGAGTCCTCCGATGTTTACTGTGATATTTTGCTGTTTATTCCAAATATTTACCGTGTATTATAAATACAATGTAGATAATTTGACTATAAGGAAGCATGTGAATTGGAAATTTATTGGGAAGTCTGGCAGTGACAGGTGAAATTTCGTGGCGTGTGTTTACCGAGAAGTCCGAAAAGCAAAATATTTTTTTACTGTTAAGTTAGCACGTAACCTCCATTATAACCAATACGGCCACAGATATAAGAAAGCAGATTATGATAAAGATATAATTCTTCAATTTTGTGCTAAAAATTTACACATTAAGAGTATTATCAGAATATGCTCACTATGCTTATTAAACATATATACAGGCTATATATATAGTGTGTAAAATATTTTGACTACTGTGTATTATTCGTATAACAGTAAATAATAATATGATACTAATTGTTAATATAGTTGAAAGTTACTGTTTTTAGTCAGTATTTTGATCTTTTCCCTCTTGAGGATCTAATTTCCTCAATTCGTTTTGGCATGCTCCCAATTGTTTTGTCAATGGTCGTGATTTTAAATGTGTTGAGACAATGCAGGGCATGCATCTTAAAAGCATCAAAGGATTGTTTTTGTATATTATTTTCTACCGCTTCCGTGTGCAGTATTTTTTTCACCAAATGAAACATGTTCTCGACAGGATTAATATCTGGAGAACGTGGTGGAATGCGATGAATATCGCACTCAATCTGTGTTAAAGCTAACATGGCTTTTTTGCTTGTTTGGCAAGGATCATTGTCCATAACAAACAATCTCTTTCTTCCGGTTTTAGGTCCTGCTTTTCCAAAACACAAATTAAAGTTATTTTGGATAAATTCTGCGAAAAAATCACCATTCATTTTATCGTACATCTTGCTGAGGATCATACCCTTTCCCCAAGCGATGGCTGCAAGAACATGACTGCATCTCCCACCTGCCAGAGCAGTGATTGCAAGCCCTTCACCTTTCTTTCTCCACACTGACGATTTCGGTTGAATTGCTGCCTTACGAGGGTGGTTCTTGTGTACAAACAATACTGCGTCCAGATAGAAAGCCACATGATTAGTGTAGTAATCTGGGTGGTTATGTAAAACTCTTGTCATTTCACGCACGTAGGAAAGTCTGAGCCGTTTATCTTTGTCATTTAAAAGTCCCTTTTTCCTTGCTTGCCTCGTGTAGAAGCCGTTTCGGTTAAGGTATCTGGAAACTGTTCTTTGATACACTCTCTGTGAGTCAAATCCACATTCTACCAACTCAGACCTGTATATTCTCCGCGCATACTTTTCTCGCCATGTTGCGATTTATATGCACATTACGTTAATCATATGATGCCAACAATCTAAACTAACTGTAATTATCAAAATGTTTTGCATATTTTAACATTAATTTTTAGTATTTTTAATATAATATCTTATTTCATGTGTTTATAGAACTTCGGTATTTATAAAATGTGACAATTGGCTAAAATTGTACAATAATTAATGCTTTATACAACCGATAGTTTTTCAGACAATCCTAGACAAATAACACACGGACGCTGATTAAAAATGGCTGAAGTTTAATGCAATCAACTATTTATATGCATATCCAGCCGTATTCCCCGCTCCCCCATTACAATGTTGTTGGTACAAATACCACAATAGTTGCCATGATGACTGAAATGTAAATCAACAGTGTTTCAGGGGAGGGGGGACCAACTTTACGAAGTATATATGAAAATGTTGCAAAAAAATACTTTATTTGCCATGTTTGGCCGAGTAAATTTGTCTATGATTGTAGGTTGATTGTAGGCTAGTATTCCAAAGGTCGTAGGTTCGAATCCCACCGTGGCCAGGCATATTTTTCAAGCCTGCCCGGTGTGGATATACACTCAGAGTAACATCACACAAACATCTTATTCACCTGAGTACATTACACCAACACAGCAGATTTAATAGTCCACTGTTAGATCGAAGACTGTATCTTAATTGTTCCCTGATGCTATTAATTAAACTACAAATATATTCAGTTGCAAGGCTGTGAATCGCTTTAAAAGTAAGAACAAGTATTTTATAGTTAACGCGGCATCTGATAGGCAGCCAGTGCAGGGTATATAACACAGGAGTTATGTGGTCAAATCTTGATGTTTTGCAGATTATTCTCGCATCAGAGTTCTGTGCACGCTGTAGTTTGTCCAGATGAACTGAGGGTAGGCCATAAAGGAGGCTATTTTGCAGTAGTCCAGGCATCTGATAATAAATGCTTGAACTAGTGTTTGCATCGATTCTTTAGATAAATATGTCCTGATGCGCCTTATGTTATTTAGATGAAAGAATGAAGCTCTGCAAGTCTTATTAATATGTTCTTGTAGGTTAAGATTGGAATCAAGCCATGTGCCCAGAGTCTTGGCCGTGCTTGTAGAATTGATTTTAGATCCACCGACAGTAAGATGATCAATGTTAACTTTACAAAGTTGTTGCTTAGTTCCAACAACTAAGAACTCAGTTTTTCCTTCATTCATTTAGTTTATCCACTATCATCCATGTTCTTATGTCATTCACACACCGTACCATCACATCTAATGCCTTGTCCTGACTCACTTGGCTATCAGGCTTGAATGAAAGGTAGAGTTCCGAATCATCCACATATGCATGGGCATCTGGAAGATGATTTCGTATAACCTGAAATAGTTTGCTGGAATAAATTGTAAATAACAGGGGTCCTAAACATGAGCTTTGTGGGACGCCTTGTGGGAGAGGGAAACTGTTCGAAACATGACCATTAAGGGAAATTTGTTGAGATCTGTTTGTTAGATATGATATAAACCAATTTAGGACATTGCGTCTTATACCAAAGCTTGATCTTAAACGCGAAATTAGGATCTTGTGGTCTACAGTGTCGAACGCTGCACTTAAGTCAAGGAACACCACCAAGGTTACATGTTTCTTGTCCATGTTTAAAAGAATATCATCATGTAGCCTTAGTAAAGCTGTTTCAGTGCTATGTCCTTGGCGATATGCTGACTGTAATGTTGGATAAAGATCAAACCGCATCATGTGATTGTACATTTGATCAAAGACAGCACGTTCTGTCAATTTGGATATGAACTGCAAGTTACTGATCGGGCAGAGGTTACAAAACTCCAAATTTAAATTATCTTTCTTCAGAAAAGGATTCACAAGAACTTTCTTCCAATCATCCGCAAATTTACCAGATGATGATAGATTTACCAAACACATGATTGTGGGCAAAAGCTTGTCAAGGCACTTGACCACCAATGATGTTGGCATGGGATCTAACGAACAGGACTTTTTAGCTGACTTTTGGACAAGCAAGTTTATGTCATCTTTAGTAAGAAGTTGGAAATCACTGAATATTTGAGTATCATCTACTTCAAGATCTTTAGGAACAGCGTCACGCACACCCCTATTCAGATGAGCATCAGAAGCCTCAATATCCAAACGAATAGCTTCGATTTTATTCACAATATATCCACCAATGTTGTTGTTATCCACCAATGTTGTTCACAATATATCCACCAACGTTGTTTGTCACAGTATTGAGGGAAAGACACATCATTCCTCTTACTTAAAAGTTTCTTTGCTGCCTTAAACAAACAACCTTGATCAATGCTATTCACTTCAATGAAGTTCCTGTAAAACTCCTGTCTGGCCTGGTTCATAATATAGGTAACATAGTTTTTCTTCTTCTTAAAGTCAATGTAGTCAATATCCAATTTCTTTCTTCTCCACTTTCTCTCTGTGTTTCTTCTCAATCGTTTAGCAGCATTGATATTATCATTGTACCAAGGCACAGTAGGTCTAACCACCATGTTCTTGGTTTTCAATGGAGCATGATGGTTCATAACTTCAGAAAGTGTGTTATTGTAATTCTGAACAAGGTCATCGAGACTGACATGTTGGTTATTATGTGAATCACTGCATAACGTAAATCCAGCTAAATCATTTGCGTAGAGATTCCAAGTTCACCGATTTAATCTTCCTATAATTTATTTTTTTCATAGTCAAAGCAGGTTTAGGCTCAAGTAAGTTGCAGAAAAAACACAATAATTGAAAAATGTTCTTGGTATTAGTGTTCAAGTTTCTGCTCCATGAAATGTGTAGCGTCTTGACATAGAGAAAAGTTGTTTTTCGTGACTGAGCACATTTAATTTTCTCGACCGGTCCCTATTTAAAAACATATTGCACAATAGACTTTGCAGGTTCATATCTTCAGTTAAGCAAATGCTATGAAGACAAAAATACTACCATTCAATTCATTGAAACAATATCTCCTAATTCCTAATGATAGTTTTAGTCAAATGGTAACATTAGAGATTTATGAACTTTGAAAGGTCAAGCTATAACATATATTTTATTATACTTATACTCAATTTTCTCGAACAATGTAAACTAGCCATACCTTTCGCCGAACATAACTTCGACGACCCCTTCGGACATATCCCTTTCATAATAGTCTTGTTCGAATTGGCATCCAAAACACTATTTATAGAGTGTTATTTCAAGGACATTTTCTGAATGTAAGGCCATCACTCACTCAATTATTAACGTTAGATGGATGCGGCTGTTAGCAATACGAGACAAACTTTCCGAGCGGTTCACAATTATTTCATTTCTTGAACAATCAAAATACAGCCACAGCATCAGAGGGTATCCGACGTCATAGATGCATGTCCTGTGATTGTCTGGATACCCTCCAAGGTGTCCAAATACCTCATTAAGTTAATATTTTTAGTAACATTCGAACCGTGGACCGTATCAGAACACCGCAGATGCATTTAAAAACATTTTTCCGATCCAAGTAAAGTCCTTTGGTTACACCTCCGGAAAGCTCTCGGCTTATCTTCGTCGAAAATAATTCAAGGCTTTAAAAACATGACTAAAGTTACATTGGAGCTGTAAATTTTAATATTTACGAAAGAATTTGCCCTCGTTCATCTTAGTGAACTCAAATTTTCACTACTTTTTGTACACAGAAATGAACTGTGTGAAATATATTAATGGTGAAGTTTTCTCAAAAACTTTTTTACTACCACAATCGGAAAAATATAACTGTATCTTGAGCTACACTCAATACCCCCTGGATCTGCCCCTGTCATTACCTTTACTAATTATTATGAACTTACAAGCCCACTCTTTAAGTCATTAAATATTATGAAAATCTATGATCTGGTGACCTTTCATGACAACAACAATTTTTAATCCATAAATAAAACATACGTACTTACACAAAAAAATTTACAATATTTAGGATACTGACTTCCCAAAATAACCACTAAGCTAAAGATGCTGGGCAGCCAGTTTACAATGTTGATGATTACTAAATTACATAAAGCACAAATACAAATTTATAGCAAAAATTACAATTATACTGTATACACACCCAAAGACAGATTACATGTGTAATACAAATAAACATATACTATACGAGTTTTTGTGCTATTTTTACAAAATTAATATTTACTTATAAAACCTTGTTTTATATATTTTTTGAATTTTTTAAATGAAAGAGACTTAACATGAAAACCAATTGCATTCCAAACTATAGATCCTTGAAATTGTGCAATGAATTTACCATAATTTGTTCTTATTTTTGGGAAATAGTGAACATGTATTATAATGTTTGTGGTGTTACTCTGAGTGTATATCCACACCGGGCGAGCTTGAAAAATATGCCCGGCCACGGTGGGAATCGAACCTATGGCCTTTGGAATACTAGCCCAATGCTCTGCCAACTGAGCTACGCGGTCAGGACGCTACGCGGTCAGGACGGATCATGTATTATAATTATAGACATTTTCCACTGGCATAAAAAACAATTCAAAGACAGGAGGTAACATCTGATGAAATTTAAACATAAATATTGCAATATGTAGGGTGACAAGATCACACAGCTTTATAGTCTTCAATGTTTTAAATATTGGGCTAGAATGCTCATCAAATTTGGAAAAAGTCATAATACTAATAGCCCTTTTTTGCAGCACAAAAAGTGACTGAATAGTTGAAGGATAAGTATTTCCCCAACTGATTATCGAGAATATTAGAAAGGGATAAACCATAGCATAGTACATGGTTATCAATGTATTAGAACTAACCAAATAGAGCACCTTAGATAAGATACCGATGCTTCTCTTAATTTTGTTTCTATATATTCAATCTGAGGTTTCCAGCAGAGGTGCGAATCAATAAACACGCCTAAATACTTGATGCAATTTTTTTGTTCCAATTGAATATTATTCAGGGTTAACTGAATGTTGGAGTGTAATCTTCTCTGAGATGGATGGAAAATAACAAAGTTTGATTTTTCTATGTTTAAAGACAACCGGTTCGCACAAAGCCAAATGTAAACCTTACCTAACTCGATCATGATTGAGATTAGATTGTTAATTTTCTAAACTTGCATTTCTATAAAATAAGTTGGCATCATGAAAGTCAAATAAGGATGAAGAGTGATGAAAATCGTTTATATAGATCAAGAATAATATTAGACCAAGAACAGTTCCTTGTGGTACACCACAGGAAATTGTTAATGGGTCAGTACTTATGTTATTTATTTTAACTATTTGTTGTCTATCAGAAAGATACGTGGTGAACCATTTACTGGGTAGTCCTCGAATTCCATAATAATTCAACTTTTCTATTAAAATCTCATGGTTTACTGTGTCAAAAGCTTTACTAAAATCCAAAAAGATTCCAAGCGAATAATCATGTTCATCAATAGATATTTGTATTTTATCAGTTATTTTAAGAATGGTGGCATATTCTGTTGAATACTTTCTACTCTTAGTAAAAATACTAATAATTTCTACTCGTAGGAATAATTTTGAGTCTTAGGAAGTCAAGTAAACGGTAACACATAAGTTTTTCCAAAAGTTTATTAAAAATAGAAAGAAGGGAAATTGGTCTATAGTTGCAAAGGCTGGATGGCGAATCCTTATTGTCGGAAATAAAGTATGTAGTCGCAACACTATTCACAAATCACAAGCTTTTTGTAGTTTTATTAAAAAGTATATTCACAATCACACGCCCAGTTTGGCTCTCGAGTCTCAATCCCTCACACTCACATCACACACACACACACACTGACTCTAAATCTGTCAATTTAGGTATATATATATATATATATATATATATATATCACGGATTATATCTCTGGCATGCAAATAATGTCTCTATCTCTAATCAATGTCGTCATGGTTACATAATTAACTAAGAATTAAAGAAAATATTTAACACACACCCCCACATTTGTCTCTAATGAGACAAATGTCCCCACATTTGTCTCTAATGAGACAAATGTTCTAAAATTCTAATATATTTCGTGTCCACGATTATACCCTATTACCTATATGAAAAAAATACCAATGTTTTAGATAACTGAACTATACGATTAAAATGTTTCTAAATAATCAGTCCTATATGAATAATATAAAAAATTATTGTATCTTATCTGTCAATGTTTGTCAATGTTAGTCTTCTTCTTCGATCCCAACTGCAGTGATCCGATCTTTGGCTTCAACGGCAGCTTGTCGCTTCGGTCTTGGTTGGAATTCAGGTACTTTCACGTTTAGCTTCGCTGGCGTGGCTTGTTCTGTCACTTCCGTCTTGTCGCACGACAATTCTAACGGAAAAAGATATTGAACCGCTCTTTCTACTACCGACTTTCCTGTTCGTACTTTCGCGCCTCGTACAACATTATCGATCCCAACTATCACCGTTTCGACTACTCCTAACTTCCACTTTCCACGGTTTCTCTCGTCCGATTTGATAATCACAACTTCGCCGACCTTCGGTGTACTTGATTTGCTGCCATGTTGCTGGTTGTGACGTTCACGTAGCCCTCTCAGGGGGACCGGCTAAACGGAGAGTTATGAAGTGGAGAGTTATCTCGGAGAGTTATGATTTCGGAGAGTTATGTTCGAACCACGCCCACTTTTCCCAACGACCACACCCAATTTCTTAACTCTCCCGATGTTTCCTTGAACTAACATGAGAGAGTTATGTTTGACGTAACTCTCTCTCGTTAACATTATGAAGATGTTAGAGAGTTATCATTTTTTATAACTCACTGCGTTCACGATTGTGGCAATGAAGAGAGTTATGTCAGTTTTTTGAAAAAAACTTCCACATTTTAGTAAGTTATTGTGAATTTACTTTTTTCTCAAGTTTCAGCTTTAATATTCCACGCTAGTAGAAAGTAGTAGTACTTTAGTACCTGCCAAGTGAAGCGAGTAAATAAATTATTATACATGCTCACTTGGATTACCTACAAAGCCCAACATTCAGATACAGCTCTCGTATTAGATAGAACCAGAAAACCTTTCCAATGTAATGCCCTATATTGGCTGATATGGGAAAATATTTGCAAAACCTGAAAGAACATTCAGATACAGCTCTCGTATTAGATAGAACAAGAAAACCTTTCCAATGTAATGCCCTATATTGGCTGATATGGGAAAATATTTGCAAAACCTGAATTTCTGAAAGATTCAATTTTCGCAATTTTTTCAATTTTCTTGCAACTATGCTTACCGTATTTACTGCCAAATACACGTCAAAACATGCTTCTGGGGGTAATTTGACCCTTCTGCGGCAAGCATCTCATTGTTTTGACCGAGTCAAGTTGTACTATTTCCTGTTTGGACGCACGCTATTGACACGCTACAAACTGAAATACCAAAATATAAGATGAAAATCTGAAGAAACAAGCTTTACTATTTAAAGGTTTTCTCAAAAAACTGACATAACTCTCTTCATTGCCACAATCGTGAACGCGGAGAGTTATAAAAAATGATAACTCTCTAACATCTTCATAATGTTAACGAGAGAGAGTTACGTCAAACATAACTCTCTCATGTTAGTTCAAGGAAACGTCGGGAGAGTTACGAAATTGGGTGTGGTCATTGGGGAAAGTGGGCGTGGTTCGAACATAACTCTCCGAAATCATAACTCTCCGAGATAACTCTCCGGTTGGTAACTCTCCCTTTAGTCATACCCCTCTCAGGTACTCGTTTTTCCATCTACGCCATACAGCTTCCTTGCAGCGTCGTAGATGTTTGGCTCGCTTGCGAAGGTCTTTGGATTCCACACGATGAGGTTCTAACTCGGGTAAGACATTGGAACGTCCATATAAAAGGGAGTTGGGGGTTAGGATGGGGAACTGTATATTGTCCTCGACATAACTAAGGGGACGGTTGTTTAGGGTCACTTCTACGTCCAATATCACATCTCGTAACTCTTTCAGCGACAAAAAACCATTTCCAATGGTTTTGTACAGACTGCTTGATAAGGCCAATCATTCTTTCAAATTGGCCGCCCCACCATGGGGCCCGACTCAAATTAAATTGCCACTTGATTTCTTCTTTCGCCAACAAGTTTCCAACGCACTCATCCTTCATCACAGTTCGGAGCCATTTAGCTGCAGCGAACGTTCCACCATTGTCAGAATATATCTTTCTTGGGCGACCACGACGTGCTATCAGTCGCCTTAAACTTCCTAGAAATTCTGTTGTCTCCATTGTAGTCAGCACTTCAATGTACAGATTCGTGTTAGGCTGCATGCATAGACTATCAGGTAGGCTTTCCCTTCTTGATTCTTGGACTTTCGATACTTGAGTGGACCTGCAAAGTCCACTCCTACTACTTCAAATGCTTCGGAGCCTTCAGTTCGATCGGTTGGTAGCTTGCCTGGTGGTGGAGCTGCAAACGCTTTCGCTTGAAACCGATAGCATCCATTGCACGACTTGAGTACCTTCCTCGCCAATCTTCTCAGCCGAGGCACCCAATATGAATCTCTAACTTGTGTCATTGTGGCTCCGATCCCTCCATGCATCGCTTTCAGGTGCGCTTCGCTCACAATCTTCGCGGTAAATTCATGGGAATCAGGTAAATAAATTGGATACTGTCCCTGGATTCGGCCACAACACTTGAGTACTCCTGCGTCATTAGGTTGGAGGTTTAACTGCATCCAATCTCTTTCTAATTCTTCTGTGCCTTCCACACTTTCCTGCGCTCGTTTGACCCACAGGATCACTTGTCTCTCGATTTCGCCTGTTCTCAGCGGTCCCAGCAGTCTGTCTCTCTTGGATTTCCTCGCGTTGTCTGAAAACCTCGCTATCCAGGAGCATACACGTACTAATTTCCAGAACTGGAACTTCTCGACGAGAACATCAAAATCATCGCTTCGCACTTCACTGAACTTGAATATCTCTTTCAGCATTTTCTCTTCAGCTTGACTCTCTGGCGAAGTGCTCGTTGTGATGTTGGTTGTCCACTTTGTACTATCTGACAACCAAATTGGTCCTCTCCACCATAGATCTTTCTGGTTAACTGATCCTCCTCTACTGGCGAGATCTGCAGGATTCTCTTCGGTGTTGATATAACGCCACTTCACATCGCCATGTTGTTTGATCTTCACAACTCGGTTTGCCACAAACTGCTTATAGTTACCATTTCCAGCAATCCAGTGAAGCGCGACACTGCTATCAGGCCAGCAATGTTGTTGACTCACGTTGAAACCTTCGAGCGCTGCCTTCACGTTTGAGATAAGATTAACTGCCATATGACCGGAAACAAGCTCTAACCTAGGAATAGTTAAACCTTGTTTCGCTAACCTTGCTTTGGCTGCGACTAAACCTTGATTTGCGGCTGACGGCTGGAAAACGACAGCGCAAACTGCGGCAGCTACACCTTTCCGCTTGCGTCACCAAATGAATGCAGATGAATATCTGTAATGTTCTCGCGTAGTAAAGGTAACGGTCGCTTGGTCATGGCACTGGTTGGCAGGCTTTCTTCCCATTTCATTAATCTCTGCGAAAGTTTGTACGGCAGTTTGGTGTCCCATGCAAGTTTGGCATCACACACCTCGCGATAAAGCATCTTTCCGGTAAGAGTAATAGGAGCCACTAGTCCCTGTGGATCTTAGATTCTGGCGACTTTTCCGAGAATCCCTCTCTTTGTAGGCTCAGCTACACCCGATGGAAACTTGATTCCAATAGTATCCTCTTCTTTGTTCAACGAAAGACCGAGAATACTCGCTTGTTCTCCGTTTGGAACCCCAAGTTGTTGCTTCGCAAACGTCTCCGTCTCTTCTGCCCCGACTTTAATGGGTGACTCTAAATCTTGAACATTAGAGTGCCACTTGTGCAGATCGAAGGTTGCATCTGAGAAAATCTCGATTGCTTTGCTCTTTAGTTGCTCGATCTCGTTCTCACCGCCGCTGATTAAATCATTGACATAAAGACTTTTCTCTATTTCACTAACAATCTCTGGATGGACCGTCTCCAAATGCTGCTGGATAACTCCTCCAAGCAAGAAAGGCGAAGGAGCTAACCCGAATAACGCACGAGTGAATCGAAGGACTTCGATAGTCTTTGTCTGCAGATCTTTAAACCAATGGAACCTGAGTGCGTCACGATCTTTCTCATGGATTCGTACTTGCAAGAACGCTTGTTTCAGGTCTCCCGTGATCAAAACTGGGTGAAATCGTGCTCTCACCAACACATTCCACAGCTGGTTTTGCAGGGGTGGTCCTGGGTTGAGGCACTCGTTCGGCAGATTCCTTCACAACCGGTTTGTGAGGAATGTAGAACTCCCGTCCCTGAGGAACTTTGCTCGCACGTTCAACAATTCCTTGGTCGAGTTGATCTTTAATCACTTGGTCGTATCGCTCGAGAAGGTCAGATCTTTCTAGCTTTCTCACGAGGCTGTTGAATCGTCTTAAACTTCCTGATTTGTTGTTAGGAAGAGGTGGGTGATTTCCTTTCCATTTCTGAACTTCGTTGTAATTGTTCTCGGAACTCCTTGTAAACTTCGTTTTGATCACCAGTTGGAGAGTCTTCTAAACTGAAAACGTCGAGACTGTTCTGGAGAGCTGTGTCTATCCTCGAGTTGTCACTGCAGTTGTATGTGTGTGCAGCTGTGAACGATGGTGCATCTGCCAACAGAAAGTTTTTCCGCCTGCATTCACAACTGGCACAAGATTTGAAGTGTGATGTTGTATACAAAACATGAAATGTGCTTGCAATGTCACGCTTCATCTATTTCTTTGCAGACTCGCCTCACCTCATCAAGACAGCTTGGAACTGTTTGTACAACTCCGGTTCTGGTTCCTGCAGCCGATATATGTGGAACAATGGACAATTCCGGTTGTTTCGTCATATTGCTGACCTCTTTTATAGTGACCAGGGGTTTGCACTTCACACACTTCCCAAGCTAACAATGGATCACATTGTGTTAACCCCATATAGCAACCCTCGAAATTCGCCTCAGCACTCGGCAATTGCCGACACAAATGCCAAGGCAAGTTACGATTTTTCATAGTTTGCCTCGGCAAAAAAATGCCGACGCAATTCCACCCGCTGTTCCTTAAATTACAAACTACAGTGTCTGTTCGTGTTTTTCTTCTTAAATATACAAACTACAGTGTTCGTTTTTTGTATCACTTCTTTGTTCGAATTGTTGTCATCACGTCGGGTGAACAACAGAAGATTTCATAGCTACTTTACAAAATATTTAAATTTGAGCTTTTCAGCTTCGGTTGAAATAATGAACAATCTTGATGGTTTAATTAAACACGGTACGTCGAGAAACTTTGTTTTATCTTTTAGACTGCCGCATGATTACCGTCAAGTTTATTCTTTCATACAATTGGTTGTAAATTACCACTAACTTTTTAAAAACATTTTGAATCAGGAATTAGTAAAATAACAACAAATTGTCGAACGTCAGAAGTCTCGGAATCTACACTCGTTATAATATTTGTTTACAATAATGTTTGTATATGTACTTTACTTTAATTACAACTGCCGACGTGAATGCCGAAGTAATTGCCGAAGGAATTTATGGTGATTTCAATGCGTGCCAAGGCAAACTCGAAAATTATCGAAAGGCTTCGGCAATTATTTGCTGTGGCAAAAATAGTTGAATTTCGAGGGTTGATAGTAAGATGAAAGTGAAACTGGCAACGCAGGTACTTAGCAAGTCTGTGATGATTGCTCTTCAGGAGAGTGGGAAAGAAGATGTTCAGGAGA